CCCCAAAACCCCAAAACCCCACAAGACATAAATTAATAGATTTTTTCAAAAATTTAACTAAAAATATTCTAAATATATTTTATATTTAAATTAACTTCGTTATGGAGTACTAAGATTACACTAGGACACTTGGTAATTCAACTAATATAAGCAACTTGTACTCTCCTCAATCTACATTTAACATCTATGATAAGATACTATTCTAGCAACAGTCATGCACAAATCTTTAACTGCCTGAATAGGCATTCTCTGTATATATCAAGGATACTAAAAAGACTCTAGCTCGAAGCCAAGTTAAAACCCCGAAAGAAAATTTGAGGAATTAAGTCAAGTAAGAGGTCAAGAATACGAGTATCATTAAAATATTCAAGCAAATAAATAAGAAATTAAGAGCATGATAGATGGTTGATGAAAGAAAAGAACAACTAGATGAGTAATTTAATAATCAGAATAATTAACTTTAAATGGTCAGAATACCTATAAAAAGCAATGATCTTTCGAAGTAGTTATTTTAAAAGAACATAAAACAGTAATAATAGTAGCAGAAATAGAAATGTTCAGAATAAGATAAGCCGAAAATCTTTACCCTCTAAAACTAGCTAATAAGCCAAAAGATACGAGAATATCATAAGAAATTACAAGAAAGTGGTGCACTAAATCGAGATGAGATCAGGAGATCAAGAAATAATAGCGAATCTAATAAATAACCATTAGTTTCAGAAGACACTAGAATTTAATCTGGATATATAACAATAAATACCTATGAAGATCTGCAAAGACCGAATGTGTTTATTAACCCTGAATCAGCTAAAAGATTGTAGCCTATAATCAATCATAGCTTGTTAAATCTTCAAAACTTTAGGGGATTAAGTAATGACAAAGTTGAGTCAAAAAGGTCAATTCCTATTTCTTCATTTTCAATTCAAGAATTTTAAAAACCTATATTGCAAAAAAAGCAGGATCCTTTAGGCAAGGGAATTGAAGACAATTCTTTTGTTTTAAGAGTGAATCAAATGCTTAACACAAGGAATAGAAATAATGGATAAGTTTTAGCAACATAAAATTAAAGGAAAAATACTCCTTAGAGACCATAAACTGCATATGTTGGCTAATAATAGAAAAAAGAAACTCCTTATGTTGCAAGAACTATTTCAAGACATCAAATTGCCCCTACTCAGTAGAAGCACATGAATAGAGCAGTTAGAGAATTATTATAAATAAAGTAAATGATGATTGTTCCAAGCAATTGTATAGCTTTCAATAATACGAATAGAAATTAGAGTGCTAAGATAAAGAGGGATTTATCTGGCAATGATTAGAGTCCGATTGAGAATCCAAAAAATCAAATATTAAAACGTATAGTTAAATAAAAGATCTCTCGAGGAATAAATTAAGTAGAGTATCAAGATGTTTATGATGATATATAAGTCAATCTATCAAAGTCTTATCATACCTTAAGCGATATAAGTAGTAGAAGAAACCTTAAGGATAAAGAAGATACATAAGTTGAGAAAAACTATAAAACCTTGCAGATAAGCAATCCTAATAACATCAAGATAGTATCTGATGACAATTCTCCTCTGCTGAGAGTAAGAAATGAAAATTTAATTAAGAAGAATTTCTTGATACAAAGCTACTCTCGAAAAGAAACCAGAAATGTAAACTTTTACCATCCCCTCTCTAAATCTAAAAATTATCAAGATAAGTCAAAAAATAATGACCTAGAGGGCTTGTGATGAATAAAGATTAGTGCTATTGTTATCTATACTTTTTATCTAAAATACAGAGTTATACCTTAATTTCTTTATCAATTTACAATTTTAATTTTGCATTTTTTTAAAAATAGATATGATGGGGGTTTTGGGGTTTTGGGG